TATCAGTATATATAGTTAGTCAGGGTGAGAATCTTTCCAATTAATTGCTAGATTAAAGAATCTACTAAATATTCTCCGGATCATTGCCTTGCTCAACTTTTACATATAACTGCATAAGCCTGTATGTTTTTTGATGAACCGTAGATAAGAGGTCAGTAAGTATACAGGTGAATTAATAAACAGACAAATGTTGGATGGTTCAATTTTTAAGTGTGATAGGAGAAAACAGTAGAAAAACAGGCCAACAGATTTTGTCATTCTCCTGTATATCCCCAGTATTGGCTTAGCTAGGAGCTTGTCTAAATCCTGTAGAGTTCATGGCATAAGTGCTCAGGGTTACCTGTCATATATAGGATCTTCCACCCTGCCCCTGCAACCCAAAGAGCATCACAAGGGCTTGCCTATTGAATGTGCATTGCACACCTGCAATATGGGGGTACTTGAGTAGAAACAGGAAGCCATAGCGGAGAGTTGTACTGGTGGTCTCCGTGCCAGCAAAGAAGAGCGAGAGCGAGGTCATGATGAGGTTCTTGTGGTGGAACTCAGTGTTCTGGTCAGACTTGTCCTGGGTCCAGAGCAAGGAGACAGAGGAGGGTCAAGGAGGACCAAGGCCTTGCTGCAAGAAGGTCTGTCTGTCCCTCTGGGCACCCTCCCTGTTTCTGGAACTGAGGCAATCTGACCTGCTTTGCATTTCTCCATCTTTGGCATCCAGTTCTCTCTGTCTCTGTCTCTGTCTCTGTCTCTGTCTCTGTCTCTGTCTCTGTCTCTGTGTCTCTTTCTGTCTCTGCCCCCCCTCCCCCTCCTTCCTTCTCCTTTTATTTCTCCTATCAGGCTGTTCCCATCTGTCTTCATGTCTTTGGCTTGTGTCACTTGGTCTTCCCATTCTCTTTCATCCTCTATGGCTCTTGTATTTAGTTGCATCTTTTGTCCTTTGCCATGATTTTCTTCCTCAGCTAGTTCTTTTCTCTTCTCTCTTTCCTTCCCATTTCAATTTCTTGTTACTATCTCTTGCCTTCCACTTCAGCTTCTTTTTGCTTCTGTTTCTCTTTCCTTCCCTTTTCCCATTCTCTCCTTCCCAACTTTTGTTCTTCCTTTCCCTCTTTTCCTGTTCCACCTCTTTCTATCCCTTCAGTCCCCCTGATCATCCCCTCCTATCCCTTCCCCTCTGCTGGATCTTACTTTGTCCATGCGGAGCAGGAAGGTATCAATGAAGTCTCTGGGGGAGCTGGGATCAAGTGTTTCACGGTGTTTCTCCACACTGTGGCCAATGAAGGCATTGATTTCCTGCATGTTTCTGTAGATTTCCCTGTGTGTGCCAGGAAAGTGTTTCAGGATGTTGGAGAAGAGTTCAAACACCTTCAAGAAAGAAGGGGCAGTGAGGTCCACATAGGGCCCAGCTAGCAGATCACAGAGGGAGGGAGCTGTCCTGGGTCCCAAACCTCCATGGGGAATCTCTATATCTTCACCTTTCTATCCTCTGAGTCTACCTCTCTCCTCCTTCATGAACACACATACACACATGCACACATATGCTTGCACACACACATGCACACACACACACACACACACACACATGCATGCATGCACACACACCGCTTTTGTGTCCCAGAATATATCTCTACCTTTTATGTCTTCTCTCTTTTCCTTCCTTCTTTCTTTCCCAAGTTTTCTTTTTCTTTGGCTCTTCCACTTTATTTCTGCATCCTCTTCACTCTCCTTTTTTTCAACACCTGCTCCCCCTCTCCCACTTCCCTTAGGTTTCATCCCTCTGTGCCATCTGCACCCTTCTCCCTACCCTAAGTGCATCTCCTCCCCCTCCACCCAAAGCAGGCCATCCTCCACCCCTGGTGACTCTTGTCACCCCATCCTCCATCATTTTCCCTGACCTGGCTGGAAAAGGAGCTGATGAGATTAAAGGACTTATAGAACAGGTCCAGCATCCGAAGGAACTGGGGATCTTTGTAGTCAAAGCGTTTTCCAAAGACGATGGAGCAGATGATGTTGGCAGTGACAGAATGAAAGAGGAATATGGGGTCCACCAGGCCTCCTGGGGAAAAAGATAACAGCTCATGGGACACAGATTCAGGAGCATGGGGAGCATTTGGCTGCTATCCTGACTCTGTGTGACTATTATTGCTCAGCAATAAAAGATAAGAATAGCAATAAACTCTGACCCTCATCAACAAGTACTATGTGCCAGGCTGTATTTTAAGCCCTTCCTGTGTTATTTTAACTTAATTTTCCCACAACATTGTAAGTAAGATGTGATTCTATTATTCCCCATTTTATAGATAGATGAATGATTAATGGTTAAATGATTTGACCAAGGTAACCCAGCTAAACATTTCTGGGGCCAGGATTCAGACCAACCAGTGCAGAGCCAGTGCAGAGGGTCCCCATTCTGTATCTTATCCCTGGCCCTAGATCCCACTCTGTAAGCTAAGAAAGTTAAACCCTGGGGCAAAGGTGGTGCATCATGGCCAATCAATTGCTTGTGCAAGTTTAGAAGTCCCAGTCACTTCTTCACTTGATTGTCACTGCCCCCCATCACCTCTTGTCTCTCCTCCAGGGCTTGGGTGAGAAAGAGCTTGACTGTGAGTCCAAGGGCATTAGGTAGGTATGATCTTCTCTTTGTCTTTGTCTTTGTCTTTGTCTTTGTCTTTGTCTTT